TGTGTGTGTGTGTGTGTGTGTGTGTGTGTGTGTATTAAGAAATAGACATGACAGGTGTGGTGACACATGGCCTTAATCCTAGCACTCAGGAAACACTCAGACGGATCTCAATGAGTTTCAGTCCAGCCTGAAAGTTCTAGGACAGGCAGCGCTACATAGAAAGACCTCATACACTCAAAGAAAAATAATAAAACAAAAATAAAAATATGAAGAGAAGAAGAGATAAAGAAAGACTTAGATTTTCCTTTCCAGCATCCCAGCATTCTATACCGCCACCCATGAAAGCCAAGAAATAAATGATACAAATAAAATTAAAGTTCCTTTTAGGTCCTGAATGGTAATGGACAACTTAATCCCAGCACTCAGGAGACAGAGGTAGGAGGACTTCTATGAGGCCAACCTAGTCTACAGAGTGAGGTCAAGGACAGTGAGGGAAACACAGGAAAAAAAAACTGTCTCAAAAAACAGCAAAACCAAAACAAAAGTGCCTTTTGACTGGAAACTTCCTTGGACATTTTAATTTTCCCCTTCCATTTAAATATCTCCAGATGCCTTAACAAAATTTTTGTCTTGTGACAGAAGTAACACTCTTCATGGCATTTAATATTCATCTACAAATTTTAGTGATTGTCGATCTCATTCATTGAAAAGAACACTGTTTAATGCTTCTGTTGAATCATACAGCTTTTAAATGCACACTGTTACAAGAGGCCCAAGATAGGGTTCCTGCCCTGGTGTGGGGACAGATTCAGGCACATGTGATGGCTAGTACCCACCAGACAACACTTGGCATGCTACAGGTTAATGATTGAAATTGTGTGTGAACATGAAATATGTTTAAGGCTTTATGAAACAAAAGAATGGGTCCTAGTTGCTATTTGACACATAGCTAAAAGCCTTTGTTTGGTAGTATGGTTTACAATGAATTAATTTTTGGTTTATTGATATAACTGAAATTTCATGAATATAATTTATTTTAAAAGAAAGGGCATGTTCAAGACTTTTCATTGAATATACTATCTTGCCTTATGAATGTGTGCTTCTTGTCTTGGCATATCTAAGTGTTTCTTCTTTGTGAAATATGTACACTTTGAGAACCTCCTTGACATGTTCTTGACATAATAAGGAATATTTCTACAAAGTAAAAATTTCATGTGGGCCTAATATACTATTAGCACAGATAACCAAACAAATATATAGATAAGTATCTTGTCTTAAAATCTGATTTTTTTAACCCTTGCATGTGTAAACTTTTACATTTGTAATCTCTGAGTTGGATAATTTAATATCACAGCCTGACTTTACTTCATCAGTAAATAAAAAGTGTCATTGAGAACCCTAACTCTTTCTGTTAAATGTTTTATTTGCCACAAAGCACATTGTGTTTCAACACTTCTGGGTGTGGCTTCTTAAATCTCATCCAATTCCATTTTTTAAAACAAACATATTTGGTGAAAGCTATGAAAATCATACACTATATATTTGTTCATTATATTTTAATAGCTTTTGAAAATCCTTGTATTTAAGGTTAATTTGTACAAGAATAATTTTCTTGCCATGGATATTGAAATTGTTTACTGTCTCACTCTGAAAAGAACTTGAACGTTGTTAATGTTTACTGCTTTCATCTTAAAATTATCAATAATTTTCTGTTAGAATTTTTATATTTTCAGTAAAATCTATTGGAAACATACACTATAGATTACCCTATAGAGCAGAAATAGCACACACACACACACACACACACACATACACACACACACAGGCACACACACACACAGGCACACACACACAGCAGGTATGGGATGCTATGCAGAGGACCATCAGTTGGAACAACAAGATGCATATAGACATGAATCAACAATGTGGCATCTTATGCGTCTCCAACATGGCTAAGCCATCAATGTTCCAGGTCAGTAGGAGAAACAGTTGCAGCTTAAACAGAGGTAGCAATAGCAGCCACAAGAAAAGCTAAAGGTGCCTGTAGTTAGGGTACTTACCCATGGTAAGAAGCTTACTTGCCCATAATTCCTAGGATGCCATCCCTACATTTCCTGCACAAATATTAGATATCTCATCTATGTTCTCCAGCAGTACTGGCAACACTCAGGTAAACCATTATAAAATTAAAGGTTTTTAAATGCAAAGTGCAACCATCACATCTAGAAGTTTTCATGTCCAGTTTTGAAATTTGCTGGAACAGCACCAAACAAATATCCACAAACTTAGAAAAGCAAATTAATTTTAAAGAGTATCACACTTTACAGAAAATAGCACTCTATTTTCATATGAAGCTTTAGATGAACAAATCACTGCCAAGAACTGCAATTTTGGGTAAACTTTTCCTGTGACCAAACAGAAAATAATAGGGTGCATAAACAGACATTTAGAACTGTAAAAAAAAAAAAAAAAAAAAAAAAAAAAAAAAAAGTCCTGTAACAACCTCTGGCTTCTTTCATAACCTTGAGAAGTTACAGGAAATGTCAGAGGGAATATTAAAATGCCATTGCATAGATTAGCATTAAATTCAGTGTAACAGCAATAGATGTGATCCTTGTGGTAGAACTGCTCCATGTCTTGACTGCTCTGATAAACACATAAACCTACATATGTAATAATATTTTATGGAACGAAACAAGCAAGTACACCAATGAGGTCATTGTAGTGTATTTATGTGCATTTCTGTATTGTATTTATGTCGGTAACAATTGGTTTGAAGACCGAACTACTGAGCAAGCTGACCGAAGAATGCTTGGGCTCCCTGCGTCTTGGCACCTCCATGTAGCTATAATCATTTCAAAATACAAAAGTACAATTAAAAATTCCAACTCAGACAAGTATGAGACTGATTTCTATGGTGTTAAGTCTTAATAAAAAAAATTCTATGTGAATCATCAACAACAGATGTACCAAAATTTACATTGTAAAGTAATGTATTAAAAATCCATCCTAATGTTCTCACAGCCCAGGAAACATTTTTTAATAGCTCCAGGAACAACTGTATCAACCAAAAGATTGTCTTTGCAAAATTAAAAAAGATATGAAAATATATTTGTGATCTTGCATTAGCCAAAAGCAACTGATGTCACTATGAATGTTATTTTTGAGGATGGAGCTAAATGTTGTATAAATTGTGCTAGCCTAAGAAATAATTTGCAGAAGAGCACTGAAAACTAGTCAGTCAAGATTAACATATAAATGTTCATTGTATTTTATATCACCGTGACCCAAAAAATCATTTTTATAGCTTACAAGGTCTTAAGTTATTCATCAGTTACTATTACCTCATTTTGTTAATAATAAAATAGGGTAAAGGAAAAGTCTTCATATTTTATTGTCCTTAGCATTTTTCTGTTGGGTTTGAATTAGTGATCGATCATTTTCATTTTATAGTTGTCCCCATAAATAATGTAAGCCTTAATCTAGGGAGGTGGACAAGCTTTGAAAGGCATTTGAATTTAAGATGCTCATGGTGGCCCACACTTGCACTCCTAAACAGTATGCCATATTTGTTATATAACAAGACCCCAGTCTCAGAATGACAAAACATACAAACACGATGCCTAAAATTTGTGCAAGAGAAAACATACTTAACAAGTTTTTTTTTTCTGTAAAATTGAAATTGGAATAAGATTTTGAAATTGCACCAGAAATTTGCAAGTCATAATTAACACAAGCTAACTCTGGGGATTTTTAGAATGTCAACCAAGTTATGACCGCATTTCCAAAACATTCTTGTTTTTCACTTATAAAACACAGAAATATTAAAAACCACACACACACACACATATATATACATATATATTATATATATATATAATATATATATATATATATGAAGTTGCATTCATGAAACCTGAGATATATAGTATTGACAAAAATTCTTGTATTGGGATTTTTATGCTTAGACCCACCTGCTACATTTCACAGTTGCAAATATAGTTACTAGAGAATTATGATTCCCATGAAACATTAAACAAGACTCAACATTTATTCTTAACAGTGTTATTATGACACTTCTACAATTTTCTCAACTGGAATTCTACTTTTTAAAAACAGTCAACGTAAAACTGACTGAGAGTGTATGCACTAAAAATGATGCTATTTCTGTTTTATCTTGATAGATCAGACTTGAACTTCATTGAGTCATTTGCTCAGCATTCAGTAGGAAGTTAGGTATACATGTTGTTTTCCAGTGCTTCTGTGGCTAAGTCGCACTTATTTTTCCTTTTAGTATCCTATTGGCTCAGTTCATTTTCTTTTCTCTCGCCTTTCAGAACGACTCTTGGGGAAAGCAATATTCCTACGCACTCTTCAAGGCGATGAGTCACATGCTGTGCATTGGCTATGGCGCCCAAGCGCCCGTCAGCATGTCCGACCTCTGGATTACCATGCTCAGCATGATTGTCGGGGCCACCTGCTATGCTATGTTTGTTGGCCACGCCACAGCTCTGATTCAGTCTTTGGACTCTTCACGGAGGCAGTATCAAGAAAAGGTACGTCGCTTTCTCTCTCATATCTTCAGCCAGCCTCTTCACAAAAAAAAATTGTGTTCAAGCTAACAAACCAACATTCCTCCATCAAAGCTGTGAGGAGCTGCAATATTTAAAAGAAATAGAATCTGTTTTGATATTTTCTGATTCCAATCAAGATAAATTTCTAAGAACTTGTTTCATTTGTCTTGAGTTATATTTACATGTGTGTGCCTGGCATACAGCAGCCCTAGCTTTCCTCCCCAAAATGGCATATACCAGGCATGGTGCAACTGACGTGTCCTTTGAGAGTTGGAGTCAAGATAATTAGGAGTTCGAGGTGTCATGTTTGACTATATAATGGGTTTGAGGTTAGCTTAGTCTGAAAATTTTAAATATATAAATTTTCATTCATTAAAATATAATTATATCTCTTAGATGTATAAAGAAGATATACAAGGTGTTTCCATGGTTCGGGTTCTGTATTCCAAGAGTTGAATTTCAATTACTGGGATCATACTATAATATAGATCCCTGACTAATTCACACTATAAGAAATGAAAACCTGCAGTAAGGGCCAGACAACTGTTGCTCTCCTGTCTGTGTTCTGTTTTTAGCTAACTAAGCATAGGCCGTCCTTATCTCTACAAAACTCATCACACTCCTCAGGATGTTCATTTGTTTTTGTTTTTCGAGGCAGAGTTTCTCTGCCCTGGCTGTCATGGAACTCAATTTGTAGACCAGGCTGGTCTAGAACTCAAAGATCAGCCTACCTCTGCCTCCTGAGTGCTGGGTTTAAAGCCTTGCACCACCCATGCCTGGAAACACTCTCCAGTTTTTAAAGTCCTGTTCACAAAGGCTACCTTACATTCCTGTGCTTGGTGTGCTCATGGAACTGACTGTCATATTAAACTTCTCTTTAAGGAGTAGAAAGGGACAAAACTAAGTTAAGCTACGATTTCATTATTTTTTATATATCTTATTATTTTAAACAATTTTTAAATATATATTTTGATGATATTCTTTCCCTCCCCAAAGTCCTTCCATATCTGCTCCCCCTCCCTACCCACCCACCCAACTTTAAGTTCTTTCTCTAAAAACAAACAAAAAACCAATACCATAACAAAACCTTCCAAAACCAAGGGGGGAAAAACTGTAGAGTCCAAAATATGTTGGTCAACAACTCCTGAATCTGAAACCTGCCCTCGAGTGGTTGGTATACCCAACATCACTCCGTTAAGAACTTATTTTCTCTTTCCCAACAGATATAAATGACATTTTTTTCTGTTTTTTAGCTTTTAAAATATAACAAAGTAAAAAATAGTAAGATACAATGAAGACTATCACATTGAACTTGGACAAAACAAACCAACAGAAGGAAAAGTGCCCAAGAGAAGGCACACGAATCAGAGATTCACTCATTCACACACTCAGGAATCCCACAAAATCACTTACCTGGAAGCCACAGTATAAGCACAGAGGGCTTGGTGTAGACCTGTGCAGGCCCTGTGCATGCTGGTTCTTTCTTTAGACCAGTAGTATCTGATTTTTTAGACCAGTAGTACCAGCTAGGGGTCCTTGGCCTAGCTACTCTCAGGTTCTTGGTCACTCAGGCAATGTCAGGTAAGGGGTCCATCTCATGTAATGGGCCCAAGGTAAAATCAGATATGAGTTGGTTACTCACACATGCTTTGTGCCACCATTGCCCTAACATATCTTGCAGGTAGTACACCACTGTAGATAACGAGTTGCTGTCTAGCTTGGTGTTTGCATTGCCCTTTAAAAGTGTATAGAGCACATTCCTGTACCAAAGTCCCTGGAACTAGGTCTTTGCACCTTGACACAGAACATTTCGGAAAGTGATGATTAAGTGCTTATAGAATAAGTGTGACTGGTACTAGGTTAGATTCAATTATTCCAAAACAGATGAACGTCACTCTAGCTGTTGCTTTATACACAGAGTCTTTGTTGCTATGTATACAGTCTTTGCCACTGTAATCCTGTAATGGGAGAAAAGGAACAAAGATATTTGATTTTGCTTAAATATAACTACAATATCACCAACTAGCATAATCAGCAAGTTGATACTTTTTTTGATGAAATCATGAAAGGTAAATTGTCAAAATTGCCTTGAGATTTATTTTTAAGGAAAAAATAAAGAAATTGTAAAGAATAGACATAACAGTAAAGGAGAAAAGACTATACAAAGCTGTTTGACTGAAAGTTTTATATTAATTGGAATTCAAACCAAACTGTCAGACCTGAAATGTATACTCAAGTAACATAATACAGACTGAGAAGGTTATATTTAGGAATATATATGTATATACGTACATACATTCATGTAACAATGGTTAATGAAAAAATGTGGCCAAGAATTTGAAATAGAGCAAGGAAGGTTATGTGAGAGAGTGTGGAGAGAAGAAAGGGAAGGGAGACATGATGTAATTATCTTATAATCTCAGAATAAAAGAAAAAAAGCATAAATTAAATAAAATAATTATGATTGTGCACATGCTTTTGATAATGTGCCCACAGAGGGGAATTCAGGTGAAAAAAAAATAGTTCAGGGTCAGCTTTTAAAATTTTAAGTCTCCTTTAATCAGATCTCTTTTCTAAGCATCAAACTTTTTTTTTTACTCTTGAAAATAATCATGTATGTAAATGTATTGTTTCATCATGGTTTTAATTATTTATATTTAATTGTATATTTATTTTATGTATTTTGAAGTCTCACTCTGCTGCCCAGACTCACATGGAATTTCTGGGACTAAGAGTTCTTCTAGTCTCAGTCTCCCTAATGCCTAGGATTACAGGCTTGTACTACCATACACAGGTATTTACTTATGTAACCTCCATTTGCCTGAAGACAGATAACTTTTTAGAAAGTAAGTTTTTGAATCTTTTTTCTTTCTGAAATTCTAAGATTGATCACATACTCCTGGAATTAAATGATGGATTATCAATGTGACTGCCATGAGGGTTGACACAATTTCTTAGTTGCTGAGCTGATAGTATGTTTTTCTTCGAGGCCTGATCGGTCCTTCACTTGCTTGGTTA